CTTGGCCAATAATCCACATATATGCCCCGCAGTAAACGAAACTAGTGGGGGTTTTAAGACCATCTGAAGCGAAGTTTTATGTCCGTGCTATAACACAACCCGGATAATACGGACAGGGGAGAGTGGTGTGGTAAGGGGAAGGGGTGAGTGGAAGCCGGCCGGTGTGTTGTGGGAGTGTTGGTTTGGTGGGGAGGAGCGTTGTTGGTTTGTTTTGGAGTGGGGAGTGGGGAGGGTGGGGGTGGGTGTTGGAGAGTGGGAGGGTGGGAGGGTTTGCTGGGAGGGGAGGTGGGGTTGGTTAATTCTTGCTGGGGAGGAGTAGGGAATGGGGAGAATGATGGTTATCTGATGGGGAAGAGTTTGGGGAGATAGTGCTTACAAGGGGGCGAGGAGGGGGTATATATGTATGGTTAGGTTAGGTCAGGTCAGGTCAGGTCAGGTCAGGTTAGGTTAGGTTAGGTTAGGTTAGGTTAGGGTGTTTAATCATCAGGTCACATAAGCTGATGCTTTTAATCTTCACATAATCCAACAGGTGTTACAGTTAACATTTGCTATAGTTAACACCTGGTATAATTAACAGGTGTTATAGCATAATGTAAACCATGTTTAACATGCCCTATAATTAACATTCGCTCCAGGTAACTAGTACTTTGCTAACAGTTAACGCTAACGAATGGGGTAATATTCAATTCACCTGAGCCGTTAACATCTGTACGAGTTAACTAAAATATAATGAAAACGAGGAGCTGAAGGGTTAACAAGACGCCATTGTACCATTAACAGCTCACCATAAAGTTAACACAAGGGGATGACGTGGTTGAGGGGACAATGTACCTTAGGTGTTAGTGAAAGAAGAGTGGAGTTAGTGTGTAGGAAGCCGTGGACACCTGCTACTTAACGATCCAACTATAAAATCACCACCTACTTCTAACTACCTGTCGTTCTTAACCAATACTGAAGCTTTTAGTTTTAGTTTTTTGTGTCGTTAATTATCCAAGTTTGTTTTCATTAGGTTGGGTTGTATGTATGTGTGTATGTATGTATGTATGTATGTATGTATGTATGTATGTATGTATGTATGTTAGCCAGGTGAGAACGAGCCCAGGTATACCCAGCTGTTGATAGCCTGGAAAATAAAACCACCTCCACTACCACCACTACCACCACCACCACGAGCCTATCAGCTGATCAAAGGTAAACGCTACCACCACCACTACCACCATCACTACCACCACCATAATGACTTGTATCAACCACTTAAACGACCTATTGTTAAGACCATCCACATTTTCCTTCTGTATTAACTTTTTTTTTATTTAGGAGGGGAAGGAGGGGGGTTGGGGAGGGGGTTGGGAGGGTTGGAGAGGGTTGAGGGGTGGTGATCTATTAACAGGTAAACATTCTGAAGGTGAGTTGTCCGTTCTTCAATTAGAATTTCAGATATCGTTTTAATCCTCCCAATTATTTTTTTCTTTTTAATCATTACAAAAGACGTAAAAGACTTTGTAAATAAATAGAAAATAATAGGGGTAATAATTCCGGGTTGATTTCCAGATAGGCGTTCATCAAGGTTGACTTAAATATCTACAACGTCTGTGTTTCATTTTATCTAAGCTTGATTTATTGTCGGCATTACTACATAAATGGCACTTTACGGCATCCCCCCCCTTCCACCCTCCTCTTCCACCTCCCCCTCCACCCATCCCCCGTTTTTGGAGGGTGAGAGGGGGGAAGAATCGCTCCTACAAGACATACCCCATAAAAGATAAATCCACCCCCAAAAAAAAAAAAAAATATGCTCACTTGCTCATTAAAATATTCCCAATCAATATTATGAAACACTAAAATTAAAACATTTATTCTACATAACCCCAATGGCTCGTCTTTATTTACCCTCATAAATAATTAAGTCTAAGTAAGAATATAAGTAAAGTTAAGAGGGAATCTACTACGAAACAACAAATCATTAGCCTCTTTGATAAGTTAGGGGAGGAACCATTAACATTTAGAAGCGTCTGGACGGAGGAGGAGGAGGAGGAGAGACACAAAAACAAGAGCCAATTGAACCCCAAACCTTAACTTTAGGACGGAATAAATCAGACGAAATGTGAGTTCGTGAATGACATTAAGTGAGAACTATACGTATTATCTGACCCACCATCACCCAGGGCTTTCAACAGTCGCAACGGCAGTGAAAGATAGCAATCACCGCGGTCATATATAGAAGCGTTCGGAGTCTCCCCTACCGTTCACTGCAACAGTGTGATGGCTGGGATTACAAGCTGTTTTTATTTTGATTTGTCTTTTGTTTTCTTGTCTTTTTTTGTTTTTGTTATTTATCATCGAGTCTCGTGTGTGTGTGTGTGTGTGTGTGTGTGTGTGTGTGTGTGTGTGTGTGTTATTCCTTATATATTCCTATCAGGGGTATGGGCGTGTGTACCTTGTCTTGATAAACCTCCTTAATCCTGCCTTAGATTTTATGAGAAACACCCCCCCACCCCCACACACACACAACCCACACACCACACCTTTACCTATTCCCCTCAACTAATTACGTGGACAAATTTGGCAGGTAACATCATAAGACTAATTTAGAATCCATGTCGCGAGTGTCCTGTCTTTGTGAAGGATCTGAACCACTCCTTAAGTAGCAAGAGATATTTACATAGGATCTTGTGTCGTCTAGCCAGGCAAGAGGAGACTGGTACACAAAGCTTATCATTTCCTTGAGCCATTTTTCAAACTGTTTTTTTTTTTATATATCCATTTTATTGCCTGTGTGTGTGTCTTTATGTTCCGTGGGATGGGTGTCGGCCCCGTCAGCAGGAGAGAGAGAGAGAGAGAGAGAGAGAGAGAGGTTCTCCAGCCCCCATGGTGGTGTTTCTTACTCACTCACTCCTCAACTCACTCACTCCACCCACTCCCCCCCACCCACTCACCCACCCACCCACTCACCCACCCACCCACTCGGAAGGTGACGCAGCTGCCACCACCCACTCCCGTCATCACATTAAACTTATGTTCCCAGAAAAATGAGTATTAAGGTAAATGTGTTTCTGATAACTACTTGACGCCCGAGTTAGTGTCCGCGCCAACTGATAACAGGTGTTGGTCGTTAATAAACCTATATATAATCTTTAATAGAATCAGTGTTTATGTTTCCTCTAAGTGTAATATTTGTCTCTTCTCGTCTTTATCATTAATTCTTCACATCCCGTCTTTCTCATTATCTATTTACATCCTCTTCCCTAAAGTTCTCTTCTTTCTCATTATCTCTCTCTAATAATTCCCAATAATATAATAAGATATCCATAATCTAGCTTACAATATAGTCAAGGTTAAATTCTAATGTGGTATTTTCTTTAGTTATTAGATAAAACAAATTCTTAAAATACTCAATAGTTATTCTTCAAAATGATAAAAAAAAACCTTCTTTTGATATGAATAATGTCGTATTTTTTGTTGTTGCATCTCTGTTAATATTTTTTTTACTAAACTACTTCCTATCATCAGGTTATTAATTATCAGTCATTATTATCTCATGTTCCTTGTAAGTACAGTAACGATACTTAAAGACAATGTTGGTGCATCATAGACCAACGTTGAAATTTAATCTTGGATAACAGCGGCAAGCAGGATGTTGGAGAATGTTCCACGTACTAATCATTAAGTAATAATATTGTATAAAGTATTCAAATATTATCTGTGGCCCCCCCCCGCCCCGCTTCTTCCTCCACCTCTCCTTCCTCCACCCCCTTCTCCACCCTCTTCTCCACCCTCTCCTCCACCCTCTCCTCCATTCCACCCCCCAGACAAGCAATGCAATTATTGAATCGCCGTAAAGACCCGATTATCTGTACACTTTAGCCAGTTTCAAAACACACATGCTCAACGTATCACACCTGCCCACAATAACGTCTCAGGTACACAGTTTACTCATTAACTGAAACACTCAGGTGTGTAGCCGTACAGGTGTTGCGCCTCAGGTAGAGTATAATGAAGTATTAAGTCAACAAACATCAACTTTCTTGCCCAGTGACATAAATTGCACGTATAGGTAGACATTCTATCACAAACAAACAGACAGACAGACACACATAAGTAAGATAAAAATATTCAACTCCTTTCAGCCACGATTGAGGGGTCATAATAAAAAAAAATCAAAGTTGTGAAGAATTAAAAATAAATGATAATAACGGTAATATTAAATGAATAATAACAATAAAAATAATAATAACAATAACAATAATAAACACCTAAATATAAAAAAAAACATCAACAATAAACACATTACAATAACAATAAACCAAACACTAAAGACATTATATAAATCAACTGCCTTCGTAAAAAAAAAAAACAGGTCACCACATACAATAAATCCGTAAATGAAACGTAAAAAAAAAACACCCGACCTAATCCCTCGTGTTATGAGGACAGGAGCCGGGTCAACTATGCTCAAGAGAACACAAATGGTCATCGAAATGGTATAGCCTTCTTGTTTGTTTAGCCTTTGTAACATTGGGGCTTTTTGTGCTCAATGTTTATACTGTGTTGAGGCGAAACATTTAGTGTCTTGTCTGGTATAGTGTTTAGAGTATTGAGGTAATTAGGTTAAATCCTCTCCTTCCTTCCTTCCTTCCTTCCTTCCTTCCTTCCTTCCTTCCAACAACTTTTTCTACTTCCCTGAATTATTTTCCTTCTCTCCTTTAATCCCTCTCTGTCTCTCATTATCTCTCTAACTGAATCATTCCCCTCCCCCCCCCTCACTCCCTCAATCCCCCCTCTCCTTTTCTCTCCCTCTCTCCTCAATCCCCCCCTCTCTCATTCTGTCTCTCCTCAATCCCCACCCTCCCTCCCGCTCTCATTCTCTCCTTCCCGCCGTCCCTCGCTTATTCCCTCCCTTCCGTCCTCCCTCATTTCATCTTTCATTCTCCTGCCCCCCTCACCTGGCCCTTGACACAGGTAAGGACGGAAGACACCTGCCACTGTGCCCTGAGACTCACCGTTCTGGGAGGTGCGGACGTCCTGTAAGTCCTGTTGTTGTTGTTGTTGTTGTTGCTGTTGTTGTTGTTGTTGTTGTTGTTGTTGCTGCGACTGGTGGGATTTGGGGCTGTGGTGCGGGTTGTCGCCTTGTCCTGACGATCCCCCGGAGGCCGCAGCCGCTGCCGCCGCTGCCGCAGCCGCAACAGCCGCGTTGTTGACTCCCTCCTTGGCCAGTGACTCCGCTGTGGCGAGAGAGAGACACACACGCACATATACAAACAGTTAACACTTGAGAAAGAGGCCATTAACTGCTTTATTATTGCCAGGGTCTCCAGTCCTTTATTTTATCTTAGGTTGAGAAAATAGTTTATTATACTCGGTCTGTGAAGCTCGGACATAAAGATAAACACTGACAAAAACCTGAACCACAAACTGTCGACAAAAACTGTGAGGGAGGGAGGAAGGGAGGGAGGGAGGGAGGGACGGAGTGATTCAGGGAGTGAGGGAAGAAGGCAACACGTGCTGCCCAGTTGTGTTGTGTTTGGTAGTTCCGTCACTCTATAATAGCTCCGTCACTCTCTGGTAGCTCCGTCACTCATCGGCAGCTCCGTCACTATAATAGCTCCGTCACTCATCGGTAGCTCCGTCACTATAATAGCTCCGTCACTCATCGGCAGCTCCGTCACTCTCTGGTAGCTCCGTCATTCTTAGATGTTGGAGATTTTGACCCACACAGGTAAGGGTGATGAGGTGGGAGGGAGGTGGGGAGGATGTTAGCCCTTAATGGTCACTGTCTGGTAATTCTGACGCCTCCACCACTACCAATACCTGTCCTCCACCAATACCTGTCCTCCACCAGCACCACCACCAATACCTGTCCTCTACCACCACCAATACCTGTCCTCCACCACCACCAATACAACACCTCCACACACCACCACACCTCCACACACCTCCACACACCACTACACCTCCACACCTCCACATTCTTCTGCCATTGCCTTACTGATCATCACACAAGATTATCCTCATTCTTTAAAACATCCAAACATTCATCTTTATCTATGAAAATGTTTACCTGAGTTAAAATTACTAACTGGTAATTTATATTTAACCAACACAAGTTTTGACCCTTTAAAGACCTGTTCTTGTGTGGGGTTAATAATATACGTAAATGTAAATAAAGTAAAATATATGCAAAATAGTGTAAAAAAAATCACTACACTTGACAACATAAATTTTTACGAACGTCATTTGTTTTTGTTTTTGTCTAATATAAATTTCCTGTCAAGAGCAGGTGTGATGATCAAGCTCAGGTCTTATCGTAGAAATTAATAATGAATAGAGTCTTAAGAGTTTTATAGCTCAGTGAAGACTCAATTTTTAAGAGCGACGGGTACTAGTTGATTGGGAGGAGTGCTAGTTGATTGGGAGGAGTGCTAGTTGATTGGGGGGAGTGCTAGTTGATTGGGGGGAGTGCTAGTTGATTGGGGGAGTGCTAGTTGATTGGGAGGAGTGCTAGTTGATTGGAAAGAGTAACAGGTGCTAGTTGATTGGAAACATTTCACCCCTTCAACCTCTGACCCCTTCAACCTCTCACCCCTTCAACCTCTGGCCTCCTTCAACCTCTCACCCCTTCAACCTCTCACCCCTTCAACCTCTCACCCCTTCAACCTCTGACCTCCTTCAACCTCTTACCCCTTCAACCTCTCACCCCTTCAACCTCTGACCTCCTTCAACCTCTTACCCCTTCAACCTCTCACCCCTTCAACCTCTGACCTCCCTTCAACCTCACCCCTTCAACCTCTCACCCCTTCAACCTCTGACCTTTCTTCAACCCTCACCTTCAACCTTCACCCCTTCAACTCTAACCTTCAATCTTCTCACCTCCTTCAACCTCTCACCCCTTCAACCTCTGGCCTCCTTCTTCAACCTCTAACCTTCTTCAACCTCTAACCTTCTTCAACCTCTCACCCCTTCAACCTCTCACCCTTCAACCTCTGGCCTCCTTCAACCTCTGGCCTCCTTCTAACCTCTAACCTTCTTCTAACCTCTCACCCCCTTCAACCTCTCACCCCTTCGCTTAACCTCTAACCTTTCTTCAATCTCTCACCCCTTCAATCCTCACCCCTTCAACTCTTTAACCTTCAACCTCTCACCCCTCCAACCTCTCACCCCTCCACCCCTCTCACCCCTCCACCCTCTCACCCCCTCCACCCTCACCCTCCACCCTCTCACCCTCCAATCTCACCCCTCCACCCTCTCACCCTCCACCTCCTCACCCTCCACCTCTCACTTCTCTCCACCCTCTCACCTCCACCCTCTCACCTCCACCTCTCACCCTCCAACCTCTCACCCTCCAACCTCTCACCTCCAACCTCTCAATCTCCAACCTCTCAAATTCTTCCTGACCTCCTCTCACCCCCCACCTCTCACCCTCCACCCTCTCTCACCCCTCCAATTCTCTCACCCCTCCACCCTTTCCTCACCCCTCCACCCTCTCAATTCTCCAACCTCTCAATCTCCAACCTCACCTCCATAACCTCCTCTCACCCCTCCAACCTCCCAACACACCTCTTATATTTCACTCCCTCCTCCCTCCCTCCCTCCCTCCCTCCCTCCCCCTCCATCCCCCATCCATCCATCTCTCTATCCATCCATCTCTCTATCCTATTTCCCGTCATTAACACCTCCCTTCCCCTCCCTCTATCTCTGTCTCCCCCTCCCCTCTTCCTCCCTCTCCCCTTCGTACTAATTAAAAAAAAACTTAAATTATACAACTTGGTGCATTTTTGGCTTCGTTAGTCAGGTTAGATTATGTCTTACTGACCTGACGTATGGATGTTGTCTCCTGGTGAGGGTTTGTGTTGATTTTAAGTGTGATTGAACGTAAGTATTATTATCATAGTAGGTTTTTGTTAAGGGTTGAGTCTGTCTGTCTGTCTGTCTGTCTGTCTGTCTGTCTGTCTGTCTGTCTGTGTCTGTCTGTCTGTCTGTCTGTCTTTCTTTCTGTCTTTCTTTCTGTCTTTCTGTCTGTCTGTCTGTCTGTCTGTGTCTGTATACGGATTCATATGAGACTTTAAGTATGCAAATAAAATACAGGTTGATTTATATTCTGTACTCAGTATCATAAAATCTATTAATGCATTCACCATACATTGATTTATACATTCACTATACATCGGTTTATACACTCACTATACATCAGTTTATACATTCACTATACAATATATTCTCTATGCACTGATTCACTCGTCATACAATATCCTCACTATATGCTGATACACTCACTATATATGACATGGTTTCATACACTCACCATACAATACAATGACTCGTATATTCACTATAGAAAACAGTGTAATAATAAGCATTGGAAACTGATTTTTTCTCAATGAAGCAAAATATAGCTAATCTGAAATACGGATGAAACGAATGAAAAATAAGGAAAAAATCTGAAATACGGGGAAAAAATCTAAAATGCCCCCCCCCCCAAAAAAAATGAAATACGGAAAAAATACGGGAATAATTTGAAATACGGAGAAAAAAATCTGAAATCCAATAAAAAAATCTGTAATGCAGGGAAAAAAATTTAAAATCCAAATTAAAAAATCTGAAATACGGAAAAATACCGGAAAAATCCGAAATACGGCAAAAATCGGGAAAAAAAATCTGAAATACGACAAAATTCTGAAATACCAGTAAAATCCCTCTAAAACCCACAAAAAATAAACAAAAAATAAACACAAAACCTCATACATACCAAACGAAGAATATTGACTCACCGGCTCAAAGTACACAAGAAAGAATAAAGTCTCTTGAAAAACAGTAAAAAAAAAAAAGCAAATCAAATGAAAAACCGTAAATAAAAAATGAGTTTCCAAATATCCAAGAGAAAAATAAAACCCAAGGAAAATAGAAAGATTTGAAGGAAACTTTCTGACCGCTGTTGATGTGATTAAAAACGATTGGGGGAAGGAAGAAGAGTGGAGAAATAATGCGATTAGTAAAGTCTCTAACAATCGCAACTTGTTAATCCTTCCAATCTCATTTGTTTGATTATCTTCCTCCGGCTCTCTCTCTCTCTCTCTCTCTCTCTCTCTCTCTCTCTCTCTCACGTTTTCCGGCTACTTGTTATCGTTTTATTTAGTATTCTCTTTCGTCTTATTATTATTATTATTATTATTATTTTTTTTTTATTATTATTATTATTATTATTATTATTATTATTATTATTATTATTATTATTATTATTATTATTATTATTATTATTATAGAGGATTTGAATTAATATTTGATGTCTATTTTTACTCTTCCCCCAAACCAAACTTTTTCCGATGCTCTGTTGTTATTTTATTGCGACGTTTATAGCATTCATGGTATCTGAATCCATCTTATAGTCAACGAATTTGTTTGTTTTTTTAAGTTTGTTCGTGTTACGGTTTTTATAAGTGCCAGAATGTCAAACACTTTCATTATTAATATGTTTCTGTGGTAGTTTTTAATAAGATACATTAGAAAGATGGTAAATGAAAGATTAATAAGGTAAATAAACTCAGAACAAAAGAAAGTGTACAAGATATCTCGCGAGGGGAAGGAGGAGAACATGATAGCATTTGGGAAAAGACTTGGATTCCGCATCACAACATAAGTACAACAAAGGACAACAAGAAGAAGAAGAAGAAGGAGGAAGGAAGGAGACCGAAAAAAAGAAAGAAATAGCATAGAAGGTTAATGGTTAAGAGGATCGGATCCGTAATTAAGAGGCTCGGAGTCTTTTTCGTGGAAGATCACGCAACACGTCATTTATTGTTATCCGCCGTCTATTGTGCTTCCTAAACAGGTCCGTCCTGATTGGTGATTTGCAGAAAATGTTCTATTACAATTTTTCTTTTCTAAATACATTGGCATTTCTTCTCGTAAAGGTAATTGAGGTGAGTTTTTTTTTTCTTTAGGTGATCAACATGACTTTCTACAGTATTGGGAGATGAGATAATTACACGTATTGAGAAACGGATGTGAATAAAATACCTACAAAACAGATCAATCAACATATACCTGAGAGCCAATCAACATACACCTGAGAGCCACACCTTTACCTGTGTCTTTCTCTCAATCAAGCTCACCTGTTGTCAGACCAGGAGCTTAACGAGAATAAAATACGAACACAGTCTTTCGTAAAATAGTAAAGAGAAAAAGAATTATTGGATTTCTGTCTTTATTTATCTTTAAGTTAGGTTGATGTATGTTTTAATTCATGGTAAAATACGTACATACATACATACATACATACATACATACATAAAAAGTACCTGAGGGAGAACCACCTTGTTATCGACCTCATCTCGTTATCAGTTATACGTCTTGTCTATATATATCTACTCTCTCTCGTTTACTATCTTTCTATCTACCTATTTATGTCTTTCTCTCTATCTCTCTCTATCTATTTGTTTTTCTATCTACGTTTCTATGTATCTATCCATCTTTTTATCTGCATCTCTCTCTCAATTAAAAATCCCACTGCGTTTAGTCGCCGAGACATCTTAGTAAAGTTGACCCCTCAAAAAATACACCTTGAAAAAAAAAAGACACTCACCCTCCCCACTTACCCCCACCCCTTCCCCTTACCCCCCTCCCCCTTACGCCCCCCTTACCCCCCCCCCCCTTACCCGAGCGATCCAATATCACACAACATAATCAGCAGAGATAATTATACGGTGAAGATCTGCGCAGTAATTAAAACTTTAATGAATTAATTGATAGGAATCATTAGGGGAGGCGCTGCATTTTTTTTATAAAAGTGGGGCCCTCCTCCACCTCACCTCTCAGCCAAGTGGAAAAGTCGATTTTTTTTTTTTACCCTTCAAAAATTTTCTTCTCTGTTCTCCCAGATACTTTCGTTCTTTTCGTTATGTTGAGTTTTGCAAGTCGATGTTTTTTTTTGTGGGGTGATGGTGGTGGTGTTGATGATGTTATATTGTGTTATTTATTAAAGATTATTATGATGTTTTAATTACGGGAATATGAAGAAGAAGTAGATGATTATGATAAGTCTTTACCTAACACCTGTTAAAAATGTCTCCTTGGGTCGCCGTTGTGAATAATTACGATATGCTTGTTAAATAAGTTTTTTTTTTAGTTTTTTTTAGTTTTTTTTACATCACTTGACGAGCCTCTAAAAATCGACGACGAAAACTATCCCTGGTAGGGTATTACATTTCCCGTGAAGGAGAATGAACCTTAATATCACCCTAACATAAATGTCATTATATCTCGGGTGGGTGACGTTGTACCAGTTGCATTGTGATTAGTGTTGTCATAAAAATGTGTAACGCGAGGAGACATAGTTAGAGAAAAAAAACGCGGAGATAATATGATTAATGACTGATGCGATGAGCGTTGATTACACTCCCTGGATTAAAAAAAAAAATTAAAAATTAAAAAAAAATTACATGGGGGGAAAAAAAATCAAAGTTTGCATAATTTCTTTAGTCGTAGTTTTCTTTCCTCCTCTCTGGAAAACAATTACGTTATTGACTTCTTTTAAGGGGGTTAAATTTAACATCTTATTCTTCTCCTTTGTTATTTTCATTCCATCTTTCGCACATGTTAAAAAAAAAATAAATCTTGAAAGTAATTATTTTTTTTTAATGGGAAAGGAAGGAAACTATTTGAAACGAAGTCTTTATAGTCTTCAGTGGCTATTAACTGCGATTAATTTCAGTGAATCTAATCCCTATTGATTAACTAGCACCAGAAAAATCACGTAAAGGATTATTCTAATTGGATATTGGAGACATAAAATTAATTCCACTTAAATATCTCCAAATGACGATAATACTCACTTTAATACCTCACTTAAGTTTGATAGATGAGAAATATTACTTAAATGTGTCGTATCTTGGACTTGTTCACTATACAGGTTACTTAAGTGTACTGTAGTAGAGGTTCTATACGATACGGCTACTTAAGTGTACTATGTAGTCAACTTACACAGGGGAGGAAACATGAGTAGTCTTGGGTGATACTTTATACCTGAACCTGCTATAAGTTTTTTTAGGGGAGAGAGAGAGAGAGAGAGAGAGAGAGAGAGAGAGAGAGAGAGAGATGGGGTGTAATTCGTCTTTCTTTTTTAACATAATGCTCTTGTGATGTTACCATGAGTGATGTTGTTTGAGAGACCAGCAAATAATATGTGTGTGTGTGTGTGGTATACAGAGCATGTGTAAAATGTTGATATATAAATTCCTAATGTATATAATGGTTTTTTTTTCCCATCCTTCCCAGTCGATGTGTACTTAGTACTTAATGAAGAAACATAGATAAAGTTGTTAGTTAAATTATAATAACACAGGTGAAGTTAATGATCACCCTACCTGCTGTATGTTAATTATCTCACCTGTATAAGTTAATGATCATCCTACCTGCTGTATGTTAATTATCTCACCTGTATAAGTTAATGATCACCCTACCTGCTGTATGCTAATTATCTCACCTGTATAAGTTAATGATCACCCTACCTGCTGTTTGTTAATTATCTCACCTGTATACGTTAATGATCATCCTACCTGATGTATGTTAATTATCTCACCTGTATTTGTCATAGTGTTTATATTATGATGATAGTATAATGGTATAAATAGTAATGGTAGTCGCTATTTATTACCAATTGCTAGTTATTGTCTTGGTATAGTTTCAACATCGACACTTTGAATTGCCTCGTTAACTTTCCCACCTGTGGTCTACAACATTCATAATTCCAACATAACTAGTCTATAACATTCTCACCTCCAACATTTATATCTCCAACATCGGTCTCCAATAACTTCAACACACACCCCCTCCAACATCGGTCTACAATAACTCCAACACACACCCCCTCCAACATCGGTCTCCAATAACTCCAACACACACCCCCTCCAACATCGGTCTACAATAACTCCAACACACACCCCCTCCAACATCGGTCTACAATAACTCCAACACACACCCCCTCTAACATCGGTCTACAATAACTCCAACACACACCCCCTCCAACATCGGTCTCCAACAAACATCCTCCAACACAACTGGTCTCCAACACTCACCGGCAGCCCTGAGCAGTTCCTTGGCGTTAGGTTCATATTGTGAGAGTCGCTTCAATTTCTCCGTCAATTCCTCCTCCAGGCGCCGCCGAGCTCGCTTCTCTTTCTTCAACTTACGCAGGTACAGCACTAGTGAGAGGGAGAGAGGAGTGGGGTGTTGGTGAGTACAGCACTAGTGAGAGGGAGAGAGAGGAGTGGGGTGTTGGTGAATACAGCACTAGTGAGAGGGAGAGAGAGGAGTGGGGTGTTGGTGAGTACAGCACTAGTGAAGATGGGGGGTGTTGGTGAAGTGCAAGCACTAATTGAGGAGGGGAGAGAGAGAGAGATAAAGTCCTTCAGTGAAGTGCAGCACTAGAGAGAGGTGGGGTGTTCAGTGAGTCTGGCACTAGGGGTGGGGAGTGTTGATGATGTACTAGTGAGGAGGGGTGGGGTCGATTGATGGTCTGGCAAGTGAGGAGGGAGAGAAGGTGGGGTGTTGGTGAAGAATACAGCACTAGAGGGAGAGGTGGGGTGTTGGTGATGCAGCACTAGTGGAGGTGGGGTGGGTAATCCAAGCACTAATGGGAGGGAGAGGTGGGGTGTTGGTGAGCACAGCACTGGTGAGAGGAGGGTGAGATCAGGCCAGTGGCTCCACAGCACTGAGTGGGGAGGGAGAGAGAGGGGTGGGGTGTTGGTGAGTACAGCACTAGTGAGAGGGAGAGAGAGATAGGAGAGAGGGGTTGGAGAGGGAAGATGGTTAGCACAGCACTATAGATAACAAGTGATTGGAGGTCATAAATTTATACAACACTGTAGATAATGATTACAGCACTGTATCGGGTGAAACAGATGGAGGGGTGCTTAGGGGGTACAGTGCTGGGGGGGGGGGAGGGTGACAAGGGAGTGGAGGGAGAAGGGAGTGGATTAAATACAGGTGGAGGGATATGAAGGGAAGGTAGAGGGAGGGGGAGGGAAAAGGAGGTGCAAAGGAGGTGCAAAGGAGGTGGAATGAGCGAGCCTGAGGGAGGGAGAGGGAAGTGGAGAGAAGTGGAGAGAGGTGGAGGGAAGTGGAGGGAAAAACATAAACACGACACAGTTACAGACGATGAAGAAAACACAATATTTAAGGGTAAACTGATGAATCCAAAGGCTGAAATATTACTCCAAGAAATAACACTTAAGAGACATAAATAACATCAATACCATAACTCTGAGAATAATAACAACGACTGAGAACAATAACAACGGCAGTAGTTTATTGATGTGAGGGAGACAAAACTTTAACGGGAAGTATTAGTTAGATATCAAATGAAATAGGAGTAAGATTAATGACCATATTCCTCCTTGACAACCATAACACATAGCTACTCTAGTAGTGTGTGTGTGTGTGTGTGTGTGTGTGTGTGTGTGTGTGTGTGTGTCCGTCCTTTATTATGTTTGTATTATCTTTCATATTCCTGTTACGTCTTAGCCAAAGTGTTCAGTGTGAATTTTCTTTTCGTCTTTGTTTCACCATCATTACCGACGCTGACATCTTAGAACTTTATAGCAAGTTAGGGAGTGTGAGGAAGTTTGTGCAGAGATGGTGTCCCCACCCCCCTCCCTCTCTCTCCCTCCCGTCGACTGAGGGAGGGAGAGAGGGAGGGAGGGAGGAGGAGGTAGGAAGAGGAGGAGGACGGGTGAAGGGGTGTAGGTGGGGAAGGAGGAAGGGGTGAAAGGGGTGTAGGGAGGGAAGGAAACAAAGGTAGGGAGGGAAGGAGGGGGAGGGGTGAAGGTGAGAGGGAAGGGAGGGAGGGGTGAAGGTGTGGGGTGGGGGAAGGGAGGGAGGGAGGGGTAAGTAAACAGAGAGGGGGGCCACTTCAGTAAGTCTCCACATCAAAACACCACTACATTCTAAGTAACAACTCACGTTTGACCTTCTCGTCCTCGACCAGTTGCTTCTCCAGTCTCTCCCGCATCTCCTTCTGCCTCTGGAACTCCAGCTGAAGGTGCTCTGTGTGGACACGTCGGGAGAAGAAGAAAAACTTGTAGTTGAAATACAAGAGGTAACTTGTACGTGACTCGAGGACACTCACAATGACAATAATGTTTTGGAGTTTTTTATCTCTCTCTCTCTCTCTCTCTCTCTCTCTCTCTCTCTCTCTCTCTCTCTCTCTCTCTTTATTTAATGTTTTTTTTTGGAGTATGAAAAAATTTGTTATGTAAACTTATAAACGTATATTAGAGTGAATTTAGTCCTATATTGAAAGATCGTCGAAGAATATACGTGGGTGATAGATATTGCAACTCTTCCTCTTCCTCCTACTGTTCCTCCTACTCTTCCTCCTTCCTCTCCTTCTTCTCTTCCTACTTCTCCTTCTCCTCTGCCTCCACCTCTAACATTCGTCGCTAACTCTCACACTCCCACCAAACTTCTCTTCATTACACAACTCTCTTCCTCTCTATCCTCTCATTTGCCACTCCAACCTCGGACACTCATTCAGTCACCTCCCCCCCCTCCCCTCCCTCACCCTCTGTTACCCTTCCTCACTTTGTCTCCTCTCTATAAATCGACCTCTTTTCTCCCTTGCAACTCCTTCCCACTCATTCGTCTCCCCTCCCCACTCACCTGCTTTCCCTCACTACTCATCCGCCACTCATTACCCTCTGCCATCATCACCCACTTCCTCCTCCCCCAGTTTATTCATTCTTTCCCCTCACTCCACCTCTTTACTTTCCCCCCTCTACCTCCCTCTCTCCCCTCTACCTCCCTCTCTCCCCCTCTCTCCTCTCTCCCCCCTCTACCTCCCTTTCTCCCCCCTCTACCTCCCTTTCTCCCTCTACCCCTCCTTTCTCCCCTCCCCACCCCTTTCCCCCCTCCCCTCCTTCCTTCACTCTATGCCAGTCACCGACCAGACACCCTCTACTACCCCCCCCCCTCCCTCTCTCCTCCACCTCCCCATCCTCACCCCCCCACCTTCTAACCCACCCTCCCTCACCCCCTTCTGTCCCTCCTATCTTCCACTCACCCACTCCCACTTCCCTCACCCTCCTTCTGTCTTCCCCTACCTCCCTCACCCTTCACCTCCCTCACCCCCTCCCCCTACCTCCCTCACCCCCCTGCCCCCCACCTCCCTCACCCCTTCTGTCCCCCCATCTCCCTCACCCCTCCACCTCCTCCCTCACCCCTTCTTCTGCCCCCTACCTCCCTCACCCCCTACCTCCCTCACTTACCCTTCTCTCTGATCCACTGTTTTTCCTCGTGCCTGACGCTCTCTGCTGCCACTTTCAGGAGGTTCTGAATGTTGCCCAGGAGGTTCTCAAGCGAGGAGAGGGGCGGGTGGTGCGGAGTGGCCGTCGTCACGTCTCCTGAGCCGCCCATGCTAAGTCCCGCCAGCCCACTCAAACCTGTGTGTGTGTGGGGCGACCCAAACAAAAGATTGACATCATGCGAGTTTTGTTTATCAGATTTATTTCAGTCAGATTAAAAAAGGAAAACAAGTGTTATTCAGATATTAATATAGATATAATTATAGGCGTAAATAACAGGTTTTTTGGGGAGGATTTCAAAGGTAATTGCAAAATAAACCCGATTTCAAGATGACAGAATCATTAAGTAAACAACAAACAATATCACTGAAACTTTACGAATTAAGGAACTTAACTCACGTAGGAGAAATAAAACCTCCAAGTTATCTACCTGAAGAAGAGGTTTTATTTATTTTTTCTCACCTGGAGGTAAACGGTCTTCGCTAACAGGAAGAAGGGCGGAGCTTTGTGAGGTGGTGGGCGTTGGTACACTACTGCTGCTGCTGCTGCTGCTGATGGTGCCGGAGAGAAGGTTACTCATACCTCCTGCCAGACCAGCCACACCCACGATTGAACTGCTGTTGTTGTTGTTGTTGTTGGCGGCGGAGGTGAGGTTATTGTTGTTGTAGTGTAGTGAGGGGCGGTCTGGGTAGTCGAAGTCCTCCCTATCGCTCAGGTCTGTTTCAGAGACGGAGGTAAGTTAGGTTAAGGTGATGGTTAATTAATCCAGGTTAATTACTGTTGCCAGGTGTTCAACATACTGGTAGATGAATATTAATTAGGAAAAAAATATCTGTTTTGAGGAATATTTTTTTAAATCATAAACGGAAAATTGATAGAAATATTAAATAGCATTACTTGTATGTATGTATGTATGTATGTATGTATGTATGTATGTATGTATGTATGTATGTATGTATGTATGTATGTATGTGTAATAACTACAATAAATTACGACATTAATCTTCATCACATCAGATATAATCGACATAAAGTAATTAGTCTTGTCCACGCATTGATGTAATAAAACCTCAATTTTATATACTAACAAAAAACAAAAACAAAAATCATAAGTAGCATGAAATCAGATTATGTTAACCAAGTCGTAACAAAAGAGAATCCTAACTCTTTTTAAGGAGGAGAATCGAATCCCTTAACCAGGAGGACTAGCGACTGTCACCACGGCTTATTAAATCACCGATACTTTTACTGGAGACGCAGCCAAGTCTTCCTCAAGAAGATCAAGATCCTCTTCCTCTTGCGTCTGTAATACGAGTAATATAATCGTGTTCTCTGCTGTATAAAGATAAATAAGTGACGTAATTCAGTGATACTAGTTCTGAATGTTAGTCTCAGCTGGGGGGTTCCTTAACTTCTGGAGCTTATAGTTTCAGGAAGGAGTTGATTGTTTTTTATTTCATTTTCTTAACCAATGACGATGCAAGAGTATTATAAGCTGGAAATACGTTTTAAAACATTCTTCTACTCTGAATAATCATCAATGTAGATAATTAATGAATCAGATGAAGAATAATAAAGTCAAATAGAGAAACTTCTTTAAGTTTGTGTTTATTTTTGTAACATAATTGAGTTTTGTCTTTATTCGCCTTTACACACGTATGACCAGTTGGGGAAATTCTCGTTTTTTTTTATTATTTCTAATCTTTATTTATTTATTTTTTATTGTAGTCACTTCATTAAATCACAAATTTTTTCATGTTAACGTATTCTTACATTCACTACATAATAACGTATTAATCATTATAGCAAAATAGGCGGTATTGTAATTCCTATTGGCTAGAACATTCTGACGTAATATATTGCTAGTAAGAATTTTAGCCACGAAGAGTTACAAATATAGTTATAAATCCTTAAAGGAGAATAAATTACCATATATTTCCCCAATTTGTAATGTGAGAAATAAGGTCTTTTGATAATTTACGGTGAATAGTATAAATGATAATACGCTTTAAGTTTTGTAATAGACATGGAAAAAGTGGAATAGTAGAAATAGTCAAATAACCTCATAACGCACTCAACAACAGCAACGCACTCAATATCAACGCACTCAATATCAACGCACTCAACATGAACGCACTCAACATGAACACACTCAACATGAACACACTCAGTATCTGCCATGGGAACTGAAAGTGTATTTACAAGGGAATACTGAGCAGAGAGAGAGAGAGAGAGAGAGAGAGAGAGAGAGAAAGAGAGAGACACACCTGGCTGAGTTAATTAGTAGCCATGAGGTAGGAAATATACCTGGCCATGCAATGAAAAACAATAACAATAAGCAATAATGAAGGTAAAAAAAAAATTATTCTTCCCATTCATGTTGCAGTTCTGGTGGGAAATAATTAAACAACCAGTGGTCATGGTCATATCCAACACACACACAAACAAACAAACTAAAACAAACAAAATAATAGCACAGGTGTTTTTATTCCCATCATTTGTCGAGACATTAAAAAAAAAGCACTTATTTGATCCTTATACCTGGTGAAATAGAAGCAGTAACAAGTAATACTACGGTGGTGTATTGTTAAGTGTTATACATACATACATACATACATACATACATACATACATACATATTCCCAGGGGTTGAAAAAAAAACTTATTATTCACAGTATTACAATATTTGGATGAGGGGGGGGGGGGTGTGGTTATGTATGGTGTATATCTTGTAGTGTATTGTATAGTGCGTTAATACACACGTTTAGTATATTGACTTGAGTTATTATTCTATAGCTGATGGTTGGTAGAGGAGCCCAGCATGTAACAGTGATATACAATTAGACGACACGCACACACACGCACACACACATACACAGACACATACACACGCACATACACATACACGACACAACGCACTATAACCCGAACCCGACCAAACAGGAAGCAGGTCGTCTCACCATTCTTATCATCGAGGTCGTCTGCGTCGGAGAGTCCATCATCCTTGTCGTCGCGGTCGTCTCGGGGCGTAGGGGCATCACTCAGGTCGTCCCGGGAGTCGCTCTTACTGCTCAGATTCAGCGCGTCGCTCTCTCCGTATCCTGCAGGAGGTGTACACATGCGGTCAGGATAGATGCGGTCAGGATACAGGCGTGACTGAAGGGTTGCAAGGTGGTGGTGGTGATGGTGGTGGTCTGTTGGAGAGGTGGGCAAGCTAGTTATTGTGACACATGTGTAAATGGTAACATATGTGTAAGGTATGCCATATGTGTAAGTTGTAGCACATGTGTAAATGGTGACATATGTGTAAATTGTGACACATGTGTAAATAGTGACATGTGTGTAGATGGTGACATGTGTGTAAATTGCGACACATGTAAAAGTTGCTGTACACATATGTTTAATTTGTCCAGGTATCCATGACACATATAGGTGATGACGTTAAGCAGGTGTTTATGTCTTACAGGTGTTTTAAGTAACACAAATGATTAGGTAACCTAGGAAGCCATATCGCACAGGTGTCTTAATGACCAGGTGTTTATATAAAGCAATTATATACATGACTCAGGTGAAATTTTTATATTAATTTATATAGCCAAGATGTTTATGTTACAAGTGATCATTGAGAATGTTTATGACAGATGTTTATACGATACAATTAATTATTAAAAAAAAAAACATTGAAGTTATAGAGCCATGGATAATCACCTAATAATCAAAATATAATCACTATAATCATCCAAAACCAATAATAATAATAATAATAATAATAATAATAATAATAATAATAATAATAATAATAATAATAATAATAATAATAATCCCACAAAAAATTATAATCCAACCCTCAAATAACGGATGATAGATTTAATAACTCTAATCTGAATAAAATAAATAGGTCCGTATGTGTGTTCGTGGTAAATGACTTAACATGGACGCGTCACAGGTCAATAATAAAGAACTCACCATTTGTTTTATGCGGGGAGGCTGGCCGGTCTGCAGGCTCATCCCTGTCCAGTCCTAACACCCGGTCTGCTCGGTTACGATCCTCACGTATCCTACAGGAAGATACAGTAAAGGATACATTAACATACATAATACATGAAGATACAGAACACATGAACATACAGAATACATGGAGATAGAGAATACATAGAATATACATAACACACACAAATACATAAATCTTATCATTACAGTCCACCATCTGTTCTTCAATAACTACTAAGGTCTTCAAGTATGTTTATAAGTCACCATCAACCATTAACTAAGAGAGGTACAATTCGCTCCCCCCCCCCCCAAAAAAAAATATATCTCCACAGTTTTATATGAGACAATATGACACAATGGACGAAGGATTTTGACAACCCTACCGAGACAACAGGAGTCACAGTGTTCATTATGTAATTCATCGATCACCTCCGTAGAGATACTTTTTTGGGGAGAGCGAGTGTACCTGATGTTTTTAGTTACCTGTGTGGTGAGTAATTAGTAAAGCACAAAGTTCTCCAGTGAGGTAAATAACCTGTCTTTAGCCCAGAATGGAGAGATAGGAAGAATTGTTAGGAATATTATGTTTTTTATTAAATTTTGGCTTTGCTATTCATCATGTATTGTCAACAGCGTGTTAAAAGGTCTTAATTGTTGAAGCGTGCGCGCGCACACACACACACACACACACACACACACACCAAGATGGCTCAAGGGCTTTAGGTTAACAGAAAATATTTTACGAGAACATGAGTGACATTATTCCAGCAAAATGATTTTACTCTTAATAACTCTACTAACTTTCTACCATGTGGCCCCTCAGTCTACCCCTCATGTTGCCAGCCAGCCAGCCAAGCCATCAACAAGATGTATCCTCTTTAGAATTTAATCAGAGGCATATTTTTTATCAACAGTCAAAATGGCATATCATCCCCCTCCTTCCCTCCCTCCTCCTGTTGTGTGTTTCAGAGAGCGAGACAGACAAGCTGGTGTAGCGAAATGCTTTAGAGACGGAGGGACAGGCAGGATGACACACACACACACACACACACACACACACACACACACACACACACACACGTCAGCTGAAGGGGGTGCAGGTGGGGGTGGTGGGGGGTATGTAGCGAGACACGACGATGCTTTCACATATTCATAACAACATCTCGGTGACAGCTTATCGTGACATGGATGAGATCAGTGATAGGAGTGATAGCAGTGACACTCTAAGGCTGACAGCTTCCGGGGGAGGATTATAGGCCACGTCTGTTGCTGTCTGTGCCTCCCCTCCCCCTCCCAACTAAAAACTATCTTTTGTTCACGTCTTCTCTAGCTAGTAATTATATCCGGGTCATACAATAGCTATTTTACTGATTGTGGTATCTATAGTTTGTTGTGTGATTGTTTGTTTACATAGACAGTTCGTAGGATTGGGAATGTCTCTCTCTCTCTCTCTCTCTCTCTTTCTCTCTCTCTCTCTCTCTCTCTCTCTCTCTCCACCTCCCTCCTAGAAAGAAAATATCTCTATAGAGTCCAACCAATTAACAGGTAAGGAAGGTGGTTATAGTGAGAGCCGACACACAGGACAGGTTTGATAAGGTGTGTGGGGAGGTGTAAGGAGGAGGTGTGGGGAGGTGTAGGGGAGGTGTGATAGACGTAGGAAACAAGAGGTAGAAGGGTGAGGTGTAGTGAGGTGTATTGTTCTAAGTTAACACGTGTTTGTTCTCACTCACCTCGTGTTGTGTGTTATCATGTTCTTAGTCTCATTAGAAGAACACGGTTAGGTTGAGTATTGTTTACAGACAGATGGTAGAGTGAGTGTTCGATACGTTTATTATGACGAGACTGTGTGTGTGTGTGTGTGTGTGTGTGTGTGTGTGTGTGTGTGTGTGTGTGTGTGTTTCGTATGTATGTTTCTTCATGGGTGTGTGTTAATCATCATTATCAGTATTAAACGTGTATAATTCATTTTCTTTGTCAATTCAACTAAATTAAGACCTAAAACAAACATTTCCTGTCACCCAAAGACTCGAGAATGTCTTAAACCCGACCCGACCCGACCCGACCCTAACCTAACCTAACCTCACCTAACCTAACCTAACCTAACCTAACCTAAAACTGAATAATAATGAACAAATAATATATGAAAAGTTAACAGCATAACTTTTCACATCTGCTGTTCTCTCTGCTGTTCTCTATGCTGTTTCTTCCACAGTTCGGTCTCCGCCTTTTGATATCCCCAATAATTGCATCTGATTATTTTTTCATCATGGGCCATTATTGAACATCAGATTATTATTATTATCATCATTATTTGGGGAACAATATAGGTCTTGCTTTCGTTTCTCCTCTACCCTTCCCTACACCTACCCCTCACTCCCTACCCCCCCTCCCCCCCCTTCCCTCCCTACCCCCCCTTCCCCTCCCTACCCCTCTCCCTCTCCCTACCCCTCCCCCACCCCCTACTCCCTCTCTCCCTCCCCCCCACCCCTCCCCCCTCTCCCCACCCTCCCCACCCCTCCCCCTCTCCCCCACCCCTCCCCAACAAGCCATACGTCCCGGTATTATATAGTTTTACCGAAAGTTTCTGAAACGACGACAAAATAACCGAACGTGACTTGTGGTTTTCTCATAAAGATCAAAGGTGCATAATATACATACGAAATAAGAATATACATAAAGGTGATTATAATGAGGTAATTAAACCAGTCGTTAAGGTGGTAATTATTATGAAATGGTTAGAAAAAAAATATATAAGGAATTAAGATTAAAAAAAAATGTATGAAAAGATGAAAGTTATGAAATGGGGGATATTTTTTTTTTGTTTTTTAGTTATGAAAGGACTAGAAGCCGTAAGTTAAATGTAGTGTATTAAAAGTAATGGAAATATAGAGGTAATTTTTACTATGGTAGCCAGGTTATAGAGAGAGAGAGAGAGAGAGAGAGAGACGAACAAAGAACAAATATATAGAGAAAAAAGAAGCGAGAAAGAAAGAGAGAGAGAACAAGGTAAATCGAAAGAGAAAGAAAGAAAGAAAAGATAAAGAAAGCGAGAGAAAGAGAGCAACTCCCCCCATACCCGGTCTAAAATACAGCCTCCATACATCAATAAAATAGCTCCTTATATACCATGTCCATATAATCATTGAGCTAAAAGAGATCTGATTAATAACTCAAGGAAGGGGTCAGAAAAAAAACCACGAAGTAAATCCAGAAATTAGTGATACCTTGAAGAGAGAATAGGCAGCAGAACCGTGTCGGCGACCAGTGGGGAGGGGGAGGAAGGGAGGGGGAAGGAGGGAAGGGAGGAAGGAAGGGGATGGGGGAGGGGGGAGAAAGGGAGGAGACGGCCACAAGAACGGTAATCAATGGATCATAAGGCCTCTTTCCTCTCTGGTTATTACAATGCACCACGATTTAATTGATAGTTAGTGATTTAGTGCCGTTTGACATGCAATGACCCCCACCCACCCCCCCCCCCCCCACGCGCGCTGGAAGTTATATAGAATTTGATGCTATATCTCGCCTCTAACTCTCTTATTGTCATGTGTTGAGACTACATTTGTTGTGTTTGGTTAGGTTAGGTGGAAGGGATTTGATGTTGTGGTGGTGTGGGGAGAGGGTTGTGGGGAGAGGGTTGTGGGGAGGGGTTGTAGAAACGAGGGAGGGATGACTCTAAATGGTGGAGGTTGGTGGCTATTTTTGAGTTTTAATTAGTGGAGGTAATAGTTATGTTTAAATGACCTCCGTGCGGCAATTTTGAAGTTTATTTCTTTCTACGTGAGGTAATTTATTAATACATCCGGATGATGATCTCTAATTATGTTTTTATATATGTGAATCGCATTTTTTTTTTCATTCGTTTATTTAATTTTTTTTTTCATATTTAATATTTTATAAATCTGAATCGCATTTTTTTTCCGTTTATTGTTTTTTTCTTATTTAATATTTTATAAATCTGAATCGCAATGTTTTTGTTTTTTTATTTCATCTATATTGATATAAAACTCCTGTCATTTATATTCTTGTCTCATTAGAGGTTTTAAGGAAGGAATTATAAACTACATCAAATAATACGTTTTCTTGGTAATTCACAGATCGGTTACACACACACACACACACACACACGACGCCGCGTCTAGACTCATAAAACTCATAATATATTGAAAATTAACTGAGTAAGTACTAGGTGTGGTGTAACGCAGGTAAATGGGTCGTGTGTAGCGCAGTCGCCTACCAGGTGCCACGGCTCTACCTGCTCTAGCTACCTGTAATTTAGATGGATGGATGGCTGGTGGGAATGGGTGGGTGGATGAATTGTAATGGGTGGGAATGGATGGGTGGATGAATGGTAATGGATGGGAATGGATGGGTGGATGAATGGTAATGGGTGGGAATGGGTGGGGTTGGATGGATGGATGGATGGATGGATAGATAGATAGATGGAATAGAATGGATGAATAGATGGTTGGATAGATGGATGGACAAGTAGACTGACCGACAGATAAATATTTATTCAGTAAATTTGGTCTAAAAATAAATAAAAAGTAATTTTCTTATTTTAGAGTAATTATTTAACCCAAATAAAACTAATAATTTGTTGTAAATCGGAAACCTCATATAATTTGTAATTAAACTCTGGGAATTTGTTGTAAAATTATAAATGATTATATTATTTAGTCATAGCTCATATAAGTTGTTGATATGGTCTTAATGTTTACTATAAAATAAAATAAAATTATAGAACTTGGTAAAAAACGAAGTAAATATCATATAACTAATAAATCCGTTATATCATTCAAGAAAACTCATAAATTCTGTCATATAATTTAACACTACTCATAAATTTGTCACATAATTCAACTAAAACTCATAAATCTGTCATATAACTCAACAGTACTCATAAATCTGTCATATAATTCAACAAAACTCATAAATCTGTCATATAATTCAACAATACTCATAAATGTCATATAATTCAACAATACTCATAAATGTCATATAATTCAACAAAACTCACAAATCTGTCATATAATTCAACAAAACTCACAAATCTGTCATATAATTCAAC